GAAGCTGACTGGAGTGACCTTCTCTGTATCACGTGAGGTTCCAGGGGCAGGTTGTTTGTTTTGTTTTGTCCTTCAAACCGAGAAATTCCTCTGAAGAGCTTTTTGTGAACACCACTGTCAGAAGCAAATTACAGGTATACGAATGAAAAGTGAGAGGAGCGAGTTTTATGTCATGTCATTTATGAGAACAACACGTCCAAAACCGAATTCCTCAATGAAAGGGGGCAAACGAGGGAGAATGTCCTGAATGTGTACAATTTCGCGAATAAAGACAACCAGGAGGCAACGTGACACGCGCTCGAACATTAGCTGACAAAAAACCCCTTTGAAAGTGCAAAAGAGTTTGGAAGAGGCAACTAAAATTTCCATAACGGAGATAAGAAGAATTTTAGGACAGCAGAAAAAGTAAGAACTTTATTCACTATGCCCAGCAATACACACAAATTTCCAGAATGTGTGACAGACGTAGATGATTTTGATAAGTGTGTCATTCGGTACAGTTAATGAATATTATGTACAAGAAAAAACATTGGAAAATACCTCTAAACTAGTCCATTTTAAAGAGTACTGATGGTGTTGTGTTACAATTTGGATCTCTAAATTATTGGATTATGTCCATCGCCTGTGTTTTCAAAAAGAACACTGCGTTTAGGAAGCTGAATCTGCATCCGTCCTCAGGTTAAAAAGTGAATATAGGCAACTACTCAGTTTGGTCCGAAAGAAAGAGCTAATCTCATTCACTGTAAAACCTAAGTCAGTACAACTACATTTACATAATCACCTGAGATCTGTTGTAATTTTGTTACTATCTCCTGTCGACGTAACATCATCTCAGGCGATTATATAAATGTAATTTACTGACTTCGATTGTCCAGTGATCGAGCCTTCTGTCGGACCAAACTTCCGAAACGTCGTGTTCTTTTTAATACCACAGGCGACGGACATGGTCCATGAATTCAATGATCCTTATTATCTCTAAACTAATTCTAAAATTAAGAGACGGGATTAATTTCAAATGCAATAGCACCAGCTTAACAAACATTGTGAATGAGCTTGGATTTCAAGAGAAGAGGATATGAAATAAGACGACGTAAGATATATGCAGGTTATCGTTCTCCATGGAGGTCGCTGTGGTTTCAATCCCAACGCACTATTTATTTTAAGTTGTGATTAATGTAATCAGCTACTGAACTTTCATTTTAAAAATTACTAGCAAAGATTATCACCACTTGCTACGGAAGTATACATCGGATCAAATATTCTTTGCATGAACTATACTTCTTGTTGCCAGACGACGAAATATGAAAACTATCGTATATGTTAGATGGCTGTCTTCTGGGTTGTTGCGCCTGTAGTCTGGTAGAAGTTTACCTCCTTGCTGCCTCCATCGGCAAGGCGATGTCGCCGTCTTCTAGGTTGCTGCGCTGTGTAGTTATCAGATGGTACGGTGCAACAACCAAGAAGAAAGCCATCTTCTGACTCGCCGCCTTGAAAACTTTAAATCCTACTATCGTGTAAGTAACCCGCTCCTAACTTTCTGCTTGAAAATTTTACCGGGCAAAAAGTATTGCGGTCAGTGTATTCACTTAACTCTCTCTTACAGTAGTTTGTCCAGGTTAGGCGGTTCCAGTCATCACGGCGTGGCGCGTCCACAGGTTGCGGTTAGAGAACAGCCTCCAGTTATGGAGGTTAACTGAGAAATTATTAAATAAGCAGTCGCGAACAGCCGATAAGGGGTGTTCATCCAGATTGAGGGTTGGGCGTGAGACTAACAAACTTCCACCGTAAAAACTGTAAATTGTCGCTAAAATTATACCAAGCATCGGGACCTGACGGACTCTTTGGTACGACCAAGGCAATTGAAAAAGATTTGAGATTTGGAACTTGGAAAGTTAAGAGTCTCTACAGGGCGCGGGTACTGAAATCAGTGCGTAGGGAATTAAGGAATTATAAATTAGATTTATTGGCAGTGCAGGAGGTGTTATGGGTGGGGGAGGGCGTGAACAGAGTAAAGAAGTTTACGTTTTTCTATGCAAAGGGGAATGATCAGTTTGGGGCAGTTTTTTGTTCGTAGCATTACTGGGGCACTAGTTAAGAGAGTAGAATTTGTTAGTGTCCGGTTGTCTTACATAATTCTAGAAGGACAATGGTGCGATATTATTGTCCTTAATGTTCATGCCGCAACTGAGAGCAAAAGTGATTATATTATGGATAGCATCTATGAAGATCTAGAATCGGTATTTGATACATTTGACAAGTATCGCATGAAAATTCTGCTAGGAGATTTCAATGAATTTTTATAAGTTCAAATTTTTCTGGCTCACTTTCCAACAGGAACTGTCTGATGGCAATTTATTTTCAGATCCAATGAAAATTGTGAATAGATGGAAAAGTTTCTTTAGCCAGCTCTTAAATGTTCATGAGAATCATGATGTTAGACAGGTTAAAATACATACAGCTGAACTGTTAGTACCAGAACCTAGCTTAGATGAAGTGGAACTAGCCATTGGGAACTTGAAAAGTTATAAATCTCCAGGAATTGATCACATTCCATTTGAATTAATTAAAGCGGGTGGCAAAGGGTTGCATATGAGAATCCATAAGCTTATAAAGTTAATTTTGGATAAGGAAGAGAAGCCACAACAATGGAAGGAATCCATAATTATTCCTATTCATAAGAAGGGGGACAAGACTGAGTTTGGTAATTGCCGAGAACCTTCTCTGCTATCAATCTCGTACAAAATTCTATCTAACATTCTTTTGGCAAGATTAACCCCATATGCGAATGAAATTATTGGGGATCATCAGTGTGGGTTCAGACTAAACAGATCAACGATTGATCAGATCGTTTGCATTCGTCAGATACTATAGAAAAAATGGGAGTTTGGTGCGACCGTACATCAATTATTTATAGATTTCAAAAAAGCCTATGACTCTGTGAAGAGAGAGGTGTTATATAATATTCTTATTGAATTTGGTATACCAAAGAAGGTAGTGAGTCTAATAAAAATGTGCTTAAATGAAACCTATAGCAAAATTCGAGTAGGTAAATATGTATCTGAGATATTTCTCATCAAGAACGGTCTAAAAGAAGGAGATGCTTTGTCTCCCTTGCTCTTTAACTTTGCGCTAGAATATGCTATCAGGAAAGTCCAAGATAGGCAGGAGGGTTTGCAATTGAAT